ATGCCCTCATAAACCTTTTTCCCTGCCAGAATTTCAAAGTTGCCAGCCACAGACCGCATTTTTGACATGATCTTTCATGGCCTCCAGAATATTTTGTTGTATATGAATATATGAGCATGCAAGATATCAAAAGAAACAGCCTCTGCTTTTAAACACTAAAAAGGCTGTTTTTATTCTAGCTTGATGCTTTCTTTTTTTATCAATACTTAATAATAATAATAATAATAATTCATTACATTTATATAGCGCTTTTCTGGACACTCAAAGCGCTTCACATAGAGGGGGGGATCTCCTCAACTTGAGTGCGTTTCATTTAAAAAAAGAAACATTTTGAGCAAGAAGCTGAGAAAAATGCTTTGTCAAAGACTACATCTAGGTCGGATTCAGAAAGCTGATCAAAATATACCAGATATCGAGTAAATCAATACCCCCCCCCCCCCCCCCCATCCCTAGAAGTTAACATTTTCTTTTTGAACAATAACTTCACAGATCAAACAGCGAAAGTAAGTATAAATGCATCTGTTCACTACTACAGTATAACTACCCTGAGTTCAGAAGCATCTGCTTCAGTCTACAGTTTGTGCAATTATTGAAAATTATTGAAAATCCCTTCATCCCTCTCAGGGGCATTAAACAATATTAAGGCTTGATAAAGACGAGGGAAAATGAGGTCATGAAGGGATTCTTTAATGGTAGTAATGGCAGAAGAGCTGCAGCAGTACTAGAGAATCATTACACAGCAGACGAAAATAATGCAATGGAGCACAAAAGAGTAACTCTTTCCTTTCTGAAGGACAAGCTATGTTGCACTGATGTTGTGATCAAAACATGGTGAGCCCCCCAGGACAGAGCACACACTGGAGCTCTGAGTCACGGGTTTTGGAGCAGCATGCCTGTGAGACCATGTGACAGACCCCATAAAACAAACAGGGGGGGCAGGGCTGTACATGGATTTCTAGGAGAATACTGGAATGTTAGACAACACAATATGAGAAAGCTGGATTTTTAAAGTGGCCTCCTAAGTGCATCAGTGCACCACTCCTCATCTAATCTCATCTAAAGAGAAAAAAGAGAGGAATAGATCGCCTCAAATTACCTTTAAGATTCTCCAGCATCACTTAACACAACAGCACGCATACATATAACAACATTCCTCTTCCTCTTTGTAAACCCAACACACAGCCTCAGGAAAACCCAGCCTGAAATTGTGGGCACAAATCTTAGTGGACAGGAGGGAATAGTTGCAGCGAAGAAATAGGATGTTATGTTCATGACTTTCGAAGATCAACCTGAACCCTCAGACAAGGAGGTCTACTTACTCAACAACTCCTTCTAGCTTCTCAAAGTAATGTTTGTGCTTACAGCATCTCTTGCGGTGACACCTGTCAAAATACTGTGCTCCTCTGCACAGCCAGTCCATAATAAAAGTCTCAAAACATCTCTGATTTCTATTGTTATGATAAACCACAGGTGCTCACATCAGCATTTCATCTGATTTTCATTCCAACAAAACAATAACAAACCCGTAACTTTCAAATGAACTCCAAAGAACCATAACTCAGGTGCGTTTAGTAATAGTTACGACTATAGGATTAAATGTAGGTCTCAATTTTCCACAAAAGAACTTGCTAGAGATCCGTAGTTGGATTTCATGAACTGGATTTACAGTTTTCTGAAATTCTCAATGAATTTGACCTCATAGAATGTTTTTCAAAATGTCAAAAAAATGTTTGTCCAATGCAATGACGCGATGTTCTACCTGCCTGTCAACATATGTATTTCCAAACTTGCTCACGCAGACATCACATGTCATTAGCGTGTGTCATGATGCTATGCCGCAGAGTTGTAGACAGACAGTCACCAAGCACCACAAACAAACAGCAGCCACCTTTTACAGTTCCTCCTGAACCAAAACAACAAGCTTATGCTGTGTTCACAGTAATTCAGAGATGGCAACCCATGACGTTCTACTCGGAGCGGTTCATGTCCTCTGACTCGGAATTGTGCATTTCTATGGCAATACTATCAATCAACAGCTAAATAAATCTGCAGCAGTCACAAGCTGCTTGCCAATTCGGAGACTGCATCCTCATTCAATGCCACATTCAAAGGCCGACTGCGTCACAGTGCCACCACAAAGTCTGTTCCAATTTAAAGGCTCCTTCAAATGTAGTGTTGAAATGTGTCCTTGGTTTCCAAGGCAATGGAGGATACAACCGATGGATCCTTTAAAGGAGTTCCCTAGCCTTGCCCAAAGTTCATTGCGCAGGTGACAACAGGATTGTTTTTTTACACTTTTAAATGTGAGTATTGGGTGTCAACTTGAATATCTAATGATACAAATGTAAAAATAAAAAAGTAAAACATTTTAAAGTGGTTCAAATGTTGACATCTTACAAAGATGCGATTTTATCCAGTTCTTTTATGTACAGAAATGGACCACGGTTAACATATTTAGACAGGTTGAGAACCTTGTTTTTTTGTTCAGACAGTTGAATATTTTTCATAAAAGTCTAGTACAAACGCTACTGCCACTCGTAGACTGTAGCCGTCACAGTTTCTAGGCAACAAGAAAAATCCCCCGTAGTCTAGACCATCCCACTAATCAACAATCAGTCTGATATTCACTGCCTTCGAAGTCCGTATCCTGCGAAGGATGCAGCCTCTGAATTGGGACACGGCTACAGACATCCCACCTCTCGTGGAAGTTCTGGAAGTCTTCCACATATTGATAGCAATTCCCTGAGTGGTACTCCCTGACTCCCTGAGAGTCAAACTCATAGGGAAAAACAAACACTTGAAGTTACGTCTACATTATAAGAACTACCAAAAATGACAGAAACCATCTATTCAAAGGGTAATAGGATTTTTTTTTTTGTTATATGGCAGAACCCTACCCTCTAAATAAAGGCAGAACTTATTTGGGACTTAAAAACTATTACTAACCTCTCCAAAATTGCCTATCCTACCATAAGATGTTTTTAAAAAAATCTGTCAAAACAATTTCTGGAAGAAAATCACAAATTATATTTAGAAGTTTATAACAACAAATAAATAATTATAACTTTGAAAAAAAATATATATAAAACAAGTAGGCTACTTTAACGAAAACAGAGCCACCCTACAGCACAGCAGGTCTGCACAGCGGTAGCGCAAATTTTTTTAATGCAATTGATCACTAGCAGGTCCTGCCCCGCTGTAAATAATATAGGCACTAAAATCGTTATCAGAGCTCAAAGATGACACAGTGTTTTGACCGCTGTGGTTGCCGTTTATACTTCCCAACGGACATCGGTGAGACAAGGGCATCGCTGGATGCCGAGAGGTGCCCATGTGTTTCAGTGCTCTTCTTTGTTATGTAAATAAGGTGCATAGTCTTTGGATAAGTCGCCCTGACCACTCCCCACCCCTTTTTCTTCCTGCGCCTGTGTGACTGAATTCAAGTCACTGAATCCTGCACTGAACAGCACCAGTGCTCACCCCTCTCAAGCCATAACAACACCTTCTCTGATCTCTCTAATTTCATTACATGGCATTTAGAGAGATAAATATAGGCCCATGTCATAAAATTGCTCAAAAGTATGGTAGTCTACACAAAAAGCACCAAAAGCCTTGTTTAAACTCATAAGTCAATTATTTGATTTAAATGTCAGAATAAGCTAGAAATATCAATACCACAACAAGCTTGTGTCAGTAATTTTTTTCTCACCCAAGTCACCATCTCTCTACTTTAAAAAGGGTGCGAATTACACAATGTCTTACAGGGGGGCCGGGGGGGTATTTCAGTCCAGTCCCTCTAGTGGACGACAAAGGTAATACAACAAGCTACAAAATATCTTTTTATTTTCATGTGTTGCTGTCTTGGCAATTTTTAGGGAATGTGGGCAAAAATGTTGCAGAATGTGTTTTTATGTAGGGAGGAGGGGGGCAGGGGATTTGGGAGTGTAAAGACACTTAAAATACACCTTGAAGCATAAGCAGACTACCGTCTCTTCCACCTGACCGGTCCAACTCATGTCATCTTGTTCTGTGTGAAAGGCACTTTGGTCGTTAAAAATAACAAACAGAACACTCTACTCGTTTTCTTTTGTTAAAGCTGTAGTCGTTTGAACTTTTACACGCATACATAGGCTACATTTATTTACGCAAGATTAGGCTACAAGTCTATAGGCTATTATCACAATTTAGTCAAAAAATTTGAGGAAATATGACAATTTAAGAACTTCAGTTTCTAAGTTTTTTTTTTTCTTTTCAGTGTCAAGACAAACATGCTGCTTAAACAAATGGCCATTTTAACAAATTCGTTTCATATATTCAAGGACAAGGACAACAATATCTAAATATATTAGGCTAGTTAATATAATTTGGTATAGAGTTAATGGGTTGCGAGTTGCGACGTTAAGTGGACTTTTTAAGAGCCCCTCCATCGATCGGGGGCTTCTAAATAACTCCAAATAAGGCATTCAATTAAACCCCCTTTAAAGTCCAACTTTTACCTTTTACTTACTTTGCTATAATGATGAGTGAAATTACTAACCTATTCCAAAATAGAGCCCCCTACAACCGCCCGTCCGAGCTAACATTGCCTTGCTTTATTTGTCTCTTCATCAAGGATTTGTTTAATTGTTAGTGTTTCAATATGCTTTGCTGTTGCGTTAAATTAACCAACAGTTACTTTACATTGAGTGCGTTTATAAAATTGAAGTTCAGATGAGACAAAAAGTTGAATCCACAAATAAATATTGTACTTCAGTGTAAATAGGCTGCCTGTTTGCGTAAAGGACATAACGTTACCAAAGGAAAACGTGAAAAAGTAAAAGCTCCACAACGCTGCAACAAGCAAGGTGCACAATTTCTCTCTTCAGCCCATCTAACGTTATACTCACACACTCTGACAGATACAAAGAAATAGGCTACATTTACATTTAGGCTACCAGACACTCACAATCTAAAAGACATAGCATGGGAAAACACCGAGGATTAGATTTAGTTTGTATTACCTTGCACGGATAATCCACAGTAACCCAGAGAAAGTAGACAGAAGAACCAGATATTCTCCACCGCCATGTACAGCGTTTGATTTCCAGAAGCGGGGTAAAGCAGTGTGCTTTATATGACCGCCACAAGCTACATGCATATAATGGAATTTGGAAAATAAACTCTTCAGGCTTAATTCGTTTTACGTAATTTCACGTAGTATTTCCCTGTCGCGCGGTCCCCCCCTAACCTAACATAACGTGGTCGTGTTAATCGGGGAAGAGTCGTCGTGTCTCTCGGCGCCTCATCGCCATGTTGTGTCCAAATGTTAAGTGTGTGTGAGAGTGTGTTAGCTCTCTTTACACACACACACACACACACACACACACACACACACACCAGTGAGTCCCGCTTTAGGTGTCCACTGGAGCTGCATGAAACGCTGCCAGTATCCTCACACACCCCCTTTCAGTGTACACGGCTGCACGCTAGTTTCACCAAACGCGCTGCGCCAAACATACGACACAACAATGCAAAATGAACATACATTTATTTAGAGCTTCGTATTTCGCTAGTAGGAATGGAAAAATACACCATTATATTATCTTATATGATGTGCTGATATGTTGCTAGCTCTCCCCATATATTATAACGTCAGATGTGTATATCATTCATTGTAAGTTCATTCAATGTGCCACTATAATCCACAACATAGGCCTATGCCAATAACATTCACTTGTTTATTGATATGCAAGTCATAGATTCACGAGTCTGCAACACACACAAACACACACAGTTGGGGTTCCAGGACCCTCTGCCATGACCTTCAAATGGGCTGAGAGAATTCTTCTCTCCTGGTGTCTGAGGGGGCGAGAGATCACATGTGCATCCATGTCATGTGCTCCTACAGGCTGAGGATCCCACTCCGCCTGGCCAGTGAGTCAGCCATGTGCACGGGACCCTATAGCCTACTACTGTCTCTGAAGACAAATCTATCTGTCTAACTGAAAGAAGAAAAGGTTTATAGGCCTACTCTTTATACATCACACACCTAAAAGATATAAATTATGTTATCAAATACACCACATGGCAACATTTTGAGGAGAGAGTCCAGCCTTGAGTATTTACAGAACAGATTAGAGAAAAGCATTAGAGATTATTATGTAAGCATTTATTCATTAGCCATGGAAGTGTGTTTTATGGTACATACTTTAATATTTTATAGTGTATGTGTATGCGGATACTGCCTTGGGCCACTCGTGTTCAGAATGGGCTAAGATATTTTATCTCTCTCAAGTCCCAACTGCAAACCGATGGGCTTCCTGGGGGTAACCGTATCCAAACCGCAGAGGGACTGAAACAGATCAAACAACGGGGATGTCCCTCCTGCAGCTGCTCCTGTAAGCGGAGTGTGTTGTTCACTCAGTAAATATCTCCTGCCTCTCTGTGCTGTTGTGACTCTAGATTGCTCCGCTTCCACCACATCAAAGGCACTTTTGTCATGGCATAATGGAGTGATTGTGTGCTTGTTGTTTTTAGGGTGGGCTTCTTTTGCTTCCAAACAAAAACAAATAAAAAGAACGATTATATGCACTTGTTACAGACACGAAGAAACACCCCAAAACACAATTATGCTGCTTACACATCTCGAACAGAGCTCGTTTAGGGTTATAAACTGCTTGCATGAATGAGAGCTTCCTCAGAGTCCTGAAGACATGCAGTTTATCAGTTTTGCTGATCGCATAAAAGTATGTTTTGTCAAACCAATATAGAATTATAGTTAATTTTAGGTCTTATCTCACTATAAAAGATGCAAAAGAAAGCAAGCAATCAGATGCCTTTGAAGAAGTCAGAGGCAGCCTTATTGCCCTAAGCCTGATCTGAATCTGAGTCATGCTGTTCATTGCACGATTTAGTGAATGAATGGGATAAACTTTACATCCTTGAAAATATACATGTCAGTGAAGACATTTTAGAAGTGTTCTATTCCGTTGTGTATTCAATTCATCCTATGTGTATTCATCCATTGTGTATTCATTCATATTGAACTGTTACATCTGAATGAGAAAATCAAAAGAGTATTTTTCAGACTGAAGGACTCTAAATAAGGGACACATGAAATGTAGAAGTTGTAGAAAAGTGTTTTTAAAGTCATTAAAAAAATTATGACCCTTTTTGCGGTGCACATAGCACTCAAGTTTTATACAAAATGTACTGGGAAAGTCTTTTCAGCTCTGGGACATTCAATGTAGCCATGACGGGTTCTAGGTGTCCTCACAAAATGAGGACATGAATTGCGCTTTTAAATGTTTTTAAGATTTTAAGATTATCCAAAGTATGGAAATGAATGCCTCACAGCTTTCTCGTCTGGACAAAATTACCCATCATCTATTTAGAGTGAACCAGCAGAGCCAATCCCCAAATATGATAGTGTTGTAAATAACTGCCCTGCCCAGTTACTACCCCATCTTCTGTCATTGAAAGGGCACCACATGTATGCTTGGCACAGTCAGCATGTCACCATGGTTACTGAGACTCAGGAGCAGCACATATAGGACAAAAAGCTCAGTTGTACAATTGATGGTCCAGTGCCACTTTGATACGCTGGCATGTGGCGAGGGAGTAGAAAGGTATGTAGGCTACTACTGTACGAATGGGGTGACACCCAAGGAGTAGCCTGAAATCTCACCACCACAATACATTGAAGGTCTGTTTTTGCTTGGCTTATTTTCCTGGACTCCAAACAAAGTATGAACTATTGTTCTAAAAATATGATTCCTGTTGGCTTGATATGATATAACTCTCTCTCTTTCCTTTTTTCCTTGTGAACAAGCAATTGCTTGCTTATTATTATTATTTATAATAACATTTCCTCATTCAGAAGTTATGGCATATTTGAAGCTGGTGGGAAACACAGCAAGAAACAATGAATATTACATTTTATGTAACAATTAGTGTCAGTTCTTAAATCTGATTGGCTGAGCAGACTGCTGATATTTAACCTGAAAGCAATTGGACTTTTGTAGCACTCGTCTATAGTTTGTATTGTCAGTGTGTATTTTAGTGGTGGGGATTATCAGTAGGTTTCTCATTACACTAGAAGGTAGTGACATGTCCACATAACCCACTGGGACCTAGGGGGCCTCAGGATGATTTTGAATGTAATTAATTAAAAAGTAAATTGACATTATTTTTTATTATTATCTTTAAAATCTAACTCTAATCTAAATTAAAATGCTACAAAACATAAAACCATAGTATAAACTGAAATCATATTTCTGCCTGTTTTAATCCTGATGTTTTAATTGATTGGTTAAGTAGCCTAATTAATGTGTGGAACCAGTTTCTGTTAATACAAAGTTTGAAAACAAGCAGGAATTTCATAGTTCCAGTAGAAATATCTGAAAAATTGGCCTATATTTCCTACAAGAGGGCTTTTCGAGTCAAAAAGGTTGAGAACCACTGACCTAGATGATTCCTGAATCTGCTGTGGCTATAAGTTTGGAACTATTATCTGAGCAAAAATAAACAAAGTAACTGACATTATTGTGTAAAAAATACAGTAATCATGATTTTAATGGTAAAAGACTACAGGGCAAAACTGTTAATTGGTTAACAGAAAGTTTCTGCACTATGGTAAATAACTGTGATATAATTTTACTGTAAAATACAGTTTTTGAAAGTGAAAAAGAACAACTCATTGTATAATTTACAGTGAAAAACCGTAAACTGACATTCCCACAATTCCCTGTGTGACACTTCACATTTTATGTATTTTTGTTGAAATAAGTATGGTTCCTCATAGTTTTCTTGTTTTTTTTTTCTAATCAATTATGTACATTAGGGTTTTATGTTAAATTTAATGTTGTTAAAATAATGTTTATTGCATTTTTTTTATTATTTCATGTGTGTTACCATGATGGTATGTTTGTGTGAATGACACTGTGCAGCTTCTCTACATATAATCTTAGAAAAAAGGGTTCTACAGTAAGAGGAAATGTGAGAATAAGAGAGGGTGGAGATATATTTGGACAAAAGCAGAGTGTGAGTGGCTGACAGCAGTGTGATTTGGTCTCCACCTCAGGCAAACCACTCATTAGTCACACAAATACCGGCTGTGTCCAGCCCTTCCCATTAACAATGTACACAGTTCAGTGGAGATCCACCCTCAAAGGGATTCTAACTCCTAGATGGCATGTCCATCAATATTAGACCCACTATAGTCGCATAAATCTACATAGACTTAAACCCATCCGTTCTAAAATAGGTTTGCATAAAAACGATTCCATTGTGGAGCCATGAACATAACCCTATTTCCCTGTGTAGTGAAGAAGAGGAGGATAGTGGTCAAAAAGAGATGGAGCTCTCATCATAATGACCATAAAAGTTGATTTTAAACGCTCGTAAAGCAGTGCATGCTAGAGACAGGAGGAATCCGTTCAGTGGGGCTGACCACGGTGCCATCATGAACATCCCATAAATGGGAGTGTTGTTAGCCAGCGGGAGGGAAACCCTTTCCCAGAGTACACTTATCTACGTTTGGACCCTCTGCTGAATGTCATTACCAAACTGCTCCAAACAAGAATTGTGAAGTGTATAGTCTGACTGAACCTGATGAATATTCATAAACTGATATGGTGGGGGACAGAGGCAGGGTGAAAATTTGCGAAGAGGGAAGGGATGAGATGGAGGAGGTAAAGAAAGGTTGTTCTATAGAGAGAGAAAAATAAATATGAGAAAAAACATATTTAGTAAGAAAGCAACTAATAATGATTTTTGATTTGCTGGAAAAATTATATGTTTGTGTGTGTGTCTTCCATTTAATAAACTGACGCAGAAGCATGTCAGCACAAGTAGACTACTGTTGAAACGTTTGATTTTATTTATCAATTACAAATAAATACTGCTCTTTTTTAACTATTCATAAAAGCATTTTGGAAAAAATACGTCACGATTTCACGGAAAAAAAAAAAACACACATCAAGAGCTTGTTTCAAGCACACAACACACGGGTTCCCAGCCCCCTCCCACTAGGTGCCTCCCTAGTTGTCACTTCACCCGGAGCGACATTTACACAGAGAAAAACACCGTTGGTTTCCTTTTATTGTTTATTGTTGGGGGCAATTACATGCACGTGTGAAATAAAATAGGAAAATTAATATTTGTTGAGTGAAGTGGTTCTATTTCAGTACCAGTCGAATTTCTGTTGAACCTCCTCAGGGTAAGAATTTGGCGTAAACAGAATGAGAACATGGATCCATCATGCTTTGTTAGCACTGTGCAGGCTGGTGGTGGTGTAATGGTGTGGGGATGTTTTCTTGGCACACTTTAGGCCCCTTAGTGCCAATTGAGCATTGTTTAAATGCCACAGCCTACCTGAGAATTGTTTCTGACCATATCCCTTCATGGCCACCATGTACCCATCCTCTGATGTC